CCTCCTCCTCTGTACTGTCATTCCTTGTTGTCACCCTCCAGCTCATTGCTCCTCACCACCTTCCCACCGATTCTTTGGACCAGGCTAGCAATGTGTGGGATTACTTTTCCTATGGCTGTGCTCTAGTCCCCCCCCCCCCCAGGATATTGTACACGTCAGTTTGCTGCTGTAGTTGCAGGTAAGTGTGACCTAACCGTGGCCCCGCCCCCAGGTCAATCTGCTGTAGGTACACCCCTCTTTAGGCGTAGGCAATCGCCTGCATTTACCGGCATAATTGGTGGATCCGACTGTCTACAAGACGGCCTTACTTCCAACAGTCAGGAGTCACCGAGACTCAGGAGCTCTACATCGGGCACCATACTTGCTCACATCTCCTTCTCCTCACACCCCCAGCCCTACGACCTCTTCTCTCCGGGCATGCACAGCGGGGGAGTGGACTTCAATTCCTATCGGCCACATATGTACATACATGATTACTGTGAGCCCATCACAGTCATCGCATGATTGGAGACACTCCTACTGACCTTTGCCATTAAGATCCATATAAAGGGCATCAAAAGGTTAATATGGTGTTGCAGATACAACCTAAACTGATAGGAGGAGGACTGAACCCTACAGGAGGAGGACTGAACCCTACAGGAGGAGGACTGAACCCTACAGGAGGAGGACTGAATCCTACTGGAGAGTCTTCAGTCTGTAGATGAATGCCAGCATCTTCCATATAGGCAGTCGTCTCCTGGGCTGCCTTAGAGGTGCGTTCTCCGAATGACACAATCTCTCTCATACTGCGCTTCCCGGCCATATAGTTCCCAAAAGACTCCGATTATTACCTGGAAGAACATTGGAGAGATCCCACCATCCCCCAAGACCAGATCGTGAATATTGGTGACCACATTGTCCCATACATTTCCTCAGAAATTGAGAGAGCTGCTTGCTGTCCTCCAGCTGGTGATTGACTATTGGTGACCACATTGTCCCATAAATTTCCTCAGAAATCAGTAGAGTCACTCCTTCTCCTCCCAGCCAGATCATAAATATTGGTAACCACATTTTTGTCCCATACATTTCCTCCGAAATCGAAAGAGCTGCTCCCTGTCCTCCAGCTGGATATTGAATATTGGTGACCACATTGTCCCATACATTTCCTCAGAAATCCAGAGAGCTGTTCGCTCTCCTCCAGCTAAATATCGGTGACCACATGTCCTATACAGTACATTTCCTAAGAAATCAGTAGGGTCACTCCTCCTCTAGCCAGATAGTGAATATTGGTGACCACATTGTCCCATATATTTCCTCAGAAATTCAGAGAGTTGCTTGCTCTCCCCAGGCTGGAAACTGATGACCATTCTGGGATATGCAGCTTTGATGTAGCTGAAGAGCAAAGGGGAATAATATAGAGCTTGACTTGAGAGACTGCTGGGGCTGATGACATCATATTCAAGATGGCGGCACCCAGCAGTAGTCTTGTAGTTCTTAGATGTCTATCCAAAGGAGCATCAAAATTCAAGGTTTCCTCACATTGCCCCCTCAAGAGTTGGTTGTGGCCAGCTCGGTGGATTGCTGGAGGAAAGTCCTGGATCCTTTCTTGGACACACAGAATATAACTGGATATAACATTTATAGGGAAAGGTGATCCAGGGAATATCCGATTGCCTCTCAGGGGATCAGGAAGGAATATTTTCCCCTGCAGGAGCAAATTGGTTCGTGCTTTGCTGGCTTTTTTGGCCTTCATCTGGATCAACTGTGGGTGTAGGATTTATAACTTTTTTTTTTTTTTCTATGGTTGAACTGGATGGACTTTTGTCTTTTTTCAGCCAGACTAACTATGGAACTTTGCTCCCCCTTTACAAATCAATCAATGTTAGTTGATGTGCATGTTAGAATTAAACTTACCCTACTGATGTCTTCCGCATCGCTGGGCGCGATATCACCAACCCTCAGGGAAGATTTCTGTGAAACCGTAAACCGGTAAAAAACCAGATTGGAGGATAATGGAAAAAGAACACCATCAGATGGATCCAACAAATGGCCAGCACTTGTGAGGCCCTCTGTCCTGTTGAAATTTGATATCCAGTGGAAGATTGTGATCTGATCCGCCATGTTAGGCGTGGCGCCAACCACTGGTGTCACTTTACAGATCATGTAGGACATGTCAGACCAGAATATAATGGGTGATACCATCCTGAAACCATTACATTGACTTCTCTGAGCCGTCCTTGTATCTCCCGTGTACCAGCCAGGTTGTATATCTGATGACATGAGTTGGTTTATCTGTGGACTTTAATATAGGAATTCTAAGAAGTTTCAGCCGTTTTGCCTGATTTCCACGTCACAGGGATTGTAGTGACCATAGAAACTGTTGTCCTCTGTCGTAGATCCATCCATTCCACTAATCTTTACTTGTTCTCCTTCCAGACTAGCCCGGCCTACACTCCGCCTCCGAGTAGCCAATGGCAGTTCTGCCCCCTGGGATACGCTTCTTCCTTTCCTTCTCACGGGATGAGTGGTAAGTGTCCTGCAGACCTACCTGAGGCTTCTACAATGTCCTAATTGCAGGGGGTGGTGAGCTGAATGCAGCATTTTCTGTTCCACATGAAAAAATCTGACAAATATGTACATTATTCATCTTATAAAAAAATTAGTGATCTAGAAACAAGATGGTGGCGATCAAAATCCACCCACATCGATCCCCTGCAGGTGGTACAGGTTTGGCTATATGTACAGCCAGGTAGTAGCATCGCTGGACGGACGTGTCTCATTGTGTCTAAGCTTCTGTGTTGGTAGAAGATTTCTTCCCTCGGATTTTTCAGTGACTGATCTTCTCTTTGCAGGTTCCGCGCTCTGGTGCTGATACTCACCTACCTCCTCTACTGCAGCTTCCACCTCTCCAGAAAGCCCATTACCATTGTCAAGGTGTGTGTGGGGGGGATGGAAGACGGGGGTGGGGGAATGGGAGATGGATGAGGCATGGGTAGAGGTATGACAATAGGAGGCAGGGAGAAGGATGAGCGGTGAGGGGATTGGTAACAGGGTAAGGGATGGTTGATGGAGGGCAGATGGAAAGTGGGGTGATGAAAGCACTGGTAATGGGGGCCATGGATGGATGATGGAGGGCAGATGGGAAGTGGGGTGATGGGAGATGAGGGGATTGGTAATGGGGTCAGGGATGGTTGATGGAGGGCAGATGGGAAGTGGGGGTGATGGGAGATGAGGGGATTGGTAACAGGACCAGGGATGGTGATGGGATAGTGGGGTAGATGGGAAGTGGGGTGATGGGAGAGTGGAATGGACTAGGAGGAGGATGGGAGAGAAGGGGACTGGTAACAGGACCAGGGATGGGTGATGGAGGGCAGATGGGAAGTGGGGTGATGGAAGAAGGATGGGGTGAGTGGAGGATGGGCGATGAAGGGACTGGTAACAGGACCAGGGATGGGTGATGGAGGGGAGGAGGATGGGAGATGATGAGAGGACTGGTAACAGGAACAGGGATGGGTGATGGAGGGGAAGATGGGAGGTGGGGTGGGAGGAGGATAGGAGATGAGGGGATTGGTAACAGGGATATGGGCGATGGAGGGGAAGATGGGAGGTGGGGTGGGAGGAGGATAGGAGATGAGGGGATTGGTAACAGGATCAGGGATGGGTGATGGAGGGCAGATGGGAAGTGGGGTGATGGGAAATGAGAGAACTAGTAATAGAGCCAGGGATGGGGATGGGCGATGGGAAGGCAGATGGGAAGGTGGATGGGAGATGAGGGGACTGGTAACGGGGCCAGGGATGGGTGAGGAGAGCAGATGGGAATAAGGACATAACAGGGTAAGGGATGGGTGATGGAGGGCAGATAGGAAGTGGGGTGATCAGAGAGAGGGAAGAGGGATGGGAGATGAGGGAAATAACAGGACCAGGGATGGGCAAGATGGGGGGGCAGATTGCAAGTGGGGTGATGAGAGAGTGGGATGGGCTGGGAGAGAAGGGGAATGGATAGATGGAAAATGAAAGAGGAGAGGGGAATGTTTGAGGTGGGACATCATGTTCACTCTGTCTGAGAAGTGTCTCTACCTATCTTCATACATCTGAAGTTTGAATCCAGAATTGTATGTCCACCATCATTGTTGGGACTTTGGGGGGCCATATATCAGCTGAATCTCTCATGTTGGAGATTCGATGGGCCGGGTAGATATAATGATCTATACTTTGTTGCACCGTGCACCATGGTAGTCTAGTACATGATCATTACCTGTAGCTATATTTTCATTAGTCTCTAGTTACACACTTATTAACCATAGTAATTGGCAGTGCTGACACAGCTCCCCAGTCTCTGGTAAAGTTCTCTTTATGGTTTAGCCATCTATAGGACTGGTAGTCGTAGTCTCGGGTTCACTACCATTCACTTCAGGTAGCCATATATAATGGTAGGGTGAGTCATATATGCAATTTCCACCATGGTTGTCCAAGAGTGGTGCTTGGTCATTACTATTGTAGGAATATTCATTGCCAGGACCATCCACCATGGTTGTCCAACATGCTTTCCATTGTAGGAATATTCTGGCCTTCTAGTGCCAGGACCATCCACCATGGTTGTCCAAGAGTGGTCATGCTTGGTCATTACTATTGTAGGAATATTCTGGCCTTCTAGTGCCAGGACCATCCACCATGGTTGTCCAAGAGTGGTCAAGCTTGGTCATTGGTCTTGAAGGAATATTTGGCCCTCTAGTTTCAGAAACATGAACTGTGCCTGCTGAGGAGCGACCAAGCTTGATCCTTGGTTTTGCAGGGATTTGGCCCTCTAGTGCAAAGGCTGTCCACCATGGAGGTACATTTTTGGTCTTAGAAGAAAGGTTTATATTTTACAGCTGGAAGAAGAGCTGGAGAACAATCGCCAAAGTTGGAATACTAGTGATAGCTTCTCTATTGTCTCCTAGGGAGAACTACATAAACATTGTTCAGAGCCCCATGAGTTTGAGCCTCACAGCTACAAGGAATTCGTCATCTTGAAGCCATCTACAGAGAATGCCATTCAGAATGCTTCCCGATGTGGCTGGGCACCATTTGGTGAGATCCTGTGATGTTCCTTCCTGTCCAGTTGTCATGCTAGAAGTATTGGCTCCCCCAGCTTACCATCTCCATTCATCTCTCCACAGATAAGAAGAACTATAAACAGTTGCTGGGAGCTTTGGACTATTCCTTCCTGTGTGCGTACGCCGTGGGCATGTTCTTCAGGTAACATTGGCTGTGTGGCACCGAGCACATAGAACGTTCATCTGCCCTGAGAGCACCCATGGGGGGGCAGCAGGCCACGGGAAGAATGTAGGGGGATACACATGCCTTTATCTGCCAGGATTTTGTAATATTTGTGGTAACCCCTAGCAGTCCTTTGGAATTGACGTGTAAAGGTTTCTTTCTGTTACAATCGTTCACATACAGCTAGCTCAGCTTTATTTCGTAGTTCCGGCACAAGCAAAGATTGGGTCGAGCAGGCGGGTTTATGCTGGAGCTGTCTCCTCCGCTGAGCTCCATATTAATGGCTGCCAGAAATGGCTGAACTACACACACATCCGGTCAATGCACGATCATCCACATCTGGACATTCTGGGACTCTTGTCACCAATGCCTGGGGTGGAGTAATTCTTGATGATCTAGTACATGATGTCTTGTAGATGGTTGTATTGGCAGAGGATGGCAGCTGTTGGAAGGCCAAAGGTTTAGGTTTAGTTTGAATTACAGGTTAGGATTTGGGTTCACATGTATTCTAAACGTCAAATCGTATGTAGAGGGCTGAAGATAATCGTGATTCTCTTCCTGAGTTCTCGTTTTCTGTAGTCTCTTGTATATCCAGTTGTGGTTCCAGCAGCTTACGCTCTACTCTTTCCTATTAGTGGTATGATTGGGGAACGCTTACCTCTCCGCTATTTCCTGTCTTGTGGCATGGTGGCCAGTGGCTTCTTCACTGGACTGTTCGGACTGGGCTATTTCTACAACATCCACAACCTAACCTATTATATTATCATCCAGGTAAGTGATCTTTCCTGCGGGTCTCTAGGTCAGTCCTGGACACACTTGGGGCATAACTCTTTATGTCCTTTTTCTACAGGTGCTGAATGGTTTGGTGCAGACCACTGGGTGGCCGAGTGTGGTGACCTGCATCGGGAACTGGTTTGGGAAAGGGAGGTAGGTGATCTCTGGTAACTGCAGGGTTGGAAGTTGGTGTATTTAGTACTGGGAATAGTGTGGTCACAGACACATGGCACTTAATTAAGGTCTCTAATGTTCTATAGGTGCAATAATTGACCCTTCACCCTGACAGCATTTTGTCACCCTATATATTGGCTAAGTCTTTATTTTATCTGACCTGCTGACCACTTACTGTGTCCTCCTCAACCTCTACCCTCTCCTCTGTTTCTCTTCCACTACCTCCCACCAACATTTTTTGGCCTCCCCATGTAGGTCTCTTTCTCTTCCTTTTTCCTTTCAGTGATGCTCTCGGTTTCTCATCCTACCTCTGGCTCCAATAAGGATACTCTCTGTCTCATCCTTCCTCTGCCTGGCTTGATGAATTTCTTTGTCTTTCATCCTTCGTATCGCTGTCTCGGAAATACTATTTCCTCTTATTAATCCTCTGGCTCTCTTGGTATGGCTCTTGTTCTCCCATCCTTCTCCAGCTGTCTGGGTGAGGTTTGCATGCTCCTCTTCCATCCTCTGGCATTCTCACCGAGCCCCTCTGCTCCTCTTCCATCCTCTGGCATTCTCACCGAGCCCCTCTGCTCCTCTTCCATCCTCTGGCATTCTCACCGAGCCCCTCTGCTCCTCTTCCATCCTCTGGCATTCTCACCGAGCCCCTCTGCTCCTCTTTCATCTTCTGGCATTCACACCGAGCCCCTCTGCTCCTCTTTCATCCTCTGGCATTCTCACCGAGCCCCTCTGCTCCTCTTCCATCCTCTTTCTCATCTGCTCTCTTCCATCCTCTGGCATTCTCACCGAGCCCCTCTGCTCCTCTTTCATCCTCTGGCATTCTCACCGAGCCCCTCTGCTCCTCTTTCATCCTCTGGCATTCTCACCGAGCCCCTCTGCTCCTCTTTCATCTCTGGCATTCTCACCGAGCCCCTCTGCTCCTCTTCCATCCTCTGGCATTCTCACCGAGCCCCTCTGCTCCCATCCTCTTTCTCATCCTCTGGCATTCTCACCGAGCCCCTCTGCTCCTCTTTCATCCTCTGGCATTCTCACCGAGCCCCTCTGCTCCTCTTTCATCTTCTGGCATTCACACTGAGCCTCTCTGCCCCTCTTTCATCCTCTGGCATTCTCATTTAGCCACTCTGCCCCTCTTCCATCCTTTTTCTGTCTTGTTGAGGTACATGCTAGCTCAGCCCGTCTTCTGTCTTGGTAATGCTCTAGGTTTCATCCTTTCTCTGGCTCTCTCCAGGATGTTTTTTCATTTCTCCTCTAGTTGTTGCAGTGAGACTCTTTGTCCCTTTTGCATTCACTAGCTGTCTTGCCATGGCTCCTGGTCCCTCTGCCTTCCTGTGGTTGTCTTATTAAGATTCTTGATCTCTTATCTTTATTCTGGCTGTTTCAATAAAACTAATTTCATGTTCCTTTCTCTGGCTCTCTCATTGAGGCTCTCAGTCCCTTTTCCATTCTCTGACTCTCTTGGTGAGTCTCTCATCCCCTGGTTATCTTGGTGGTGCTTTTGACCCTTTTTCCTTCCTTTAGCTTTAGTGAGGCTCTTGGTCCCCTCTTCCATCCTCTGGCTATCATAGTGAGACTTTTGATTCCCTTACTGTCTCAGTGAGGCTCTTTGTCCCCCTTCTATTCTGTAGTTGTTTAGATAAGGCTCTCAGTCTTGCGTCATCCTCTGTCCATCTTAGTGAGGCTTTTAGTCCCTTTCCCATGCCCTGGTTATCTTGGTGAGACTCTTGGTCCCCTCTTCCATCCTCTGGCTATCATAGTGAGGCTTTTGATCCCCTTACTGTCTCAGTGAGGCCCTTGGTCCTTCTTCTATTCTGTAGTTGTCTAGTTAAGCCTCTCAGATTTGCGTCATCCTCTGTCCATCTTGGTGAGACTTTCTGTCCCTCTTCCATCCTCTGTCTTGGTGAGGCTCTCGGTCCCATCTTCCATCCCCTGACTATCGTGGTGAGGCTCTTGATCCCTCTTCCATCCCTTTACTGTCTCAGTGAGGCTCTTGGTCCTTCTTCTATTCTGTAGTTGTCTAGATAAGCCTCTCAGTCTCGCTTCATTCTCTGTCCATCTTGGTGAAGCTTTTAGTCCCTTTCCCATCCCCTGGTTATCTTGGTGAGGCTCTCTTTCTCTCTTCCATCCTCTCTTGGAGAGGCTCCCGGTCCCCTCTTCCATCCTCTGACTATCGTGAGGCTCTTAATCCCTCTCCCTCTTCCATCCTCTGTCTTGGTGAGACTCTCGGTCCCTCTTCCATCCTCTGTCTTGGTGAGACTCTCGGTTCTTTTTCCATTCTCTGACTATAGTGGTGAGGCTCTTGGTCCCTCTTCCATCCTCTGGCTATTGTGGTGTGGCTCTTGGTCCTTCTTCCATCCCCTAACTGTCTCAGTGAGGCTCTTGGTCTGTAATCTTTTCTCTGGCTGTCCAGGTGATGCTCTAATCCTCATCCTTCTTCAGTCTGTCTCAACAATGCCAGATATCTAACCCTTGTCATCTTCCTGCTGTCCACAGGCGAGGTTTCATTATGGGAGTGTGGAATTCGCACACATCGGTTGGAAATATTTTGGGGTCCCTGATTGCTGGCTTCTGGGTGTCCTCATGTTGGGGATGTCCTTTGTTGTTCCGGGTATAATCATTGGAGTGATGGGCATCGTCTGTTTCCTGTTCCTCATAGAGCGTAAGTGATGCATTTTTGGAATGTGTGGCATTGTGATCTCCGGCTGTCTCACATATGGCTGTCTCTTCTCTACCTGCAGATCCCCGGGACATCAACTCCGATCCTCCTAGGGTAAGAAGAATCTTCCATCCAGGGGTCTGCTCTCCCAATTCTGATCTGGCCTGCCACATCTGAACCCGCCAGACCATATCCCCAGCCATGTCCACCCTAATCTCGTTCCCACCTCTAGAGCTCCTAGACTTCAGACATGGATGCATTTGGGTATCCAGCTTAAATTGCAGGTGTATCTCCGTACCCAAGAGATATGCTGCAGTGAACAGCCGCCCATAGTAATGAATGGATGTGTGCAGGTATCCACCATGCAAGCACATGGGCTAAACACCGGAACATGCAAGAAGTCACATTCTGTGAGCGGGTTTACACAAGAATGGTATATAGCTATGTACAGCCATTCGTTCCTATGGGCAGACTGTAGAGTGCATGTGTCTATCCCAAACACAGAAATATTCCCTCCATTTATGTCTGGTGCCTGAAAGCGTCCGTGAACATGAAGCCTTCTTGTGTGACTTTCCCGGCATGTCTATCATCTCTTCCCCTTCCAATGTTCCTTCATTTATATGACTTGAGGACCATCCCCTGTCATGCTTCTCCTCTATTCACCTTCTTCCAATGTACTTTTATCATATGACTCCTCCTCCTCCTCCACCACCATTACCTGACCCAGGTGTTGTACAATCCACAGGCTCCTCCCAGTTTGTCGTGTAACGGTTTCAAGATCCAGAATCAAATATTAAGAGCGGAAGAGTCTGTAGCAGAGAAGGTAAATAATATCCAGACTGTGGGTGGGAATTGTGGACCATTTCTGGTATGGTGTGAGCTGTGGGAATCTAGCTGGGTGAAGGTTCCACACATCGTCTTTTCTTCAGAATGCCAAACGAAATGCACCGGCCTAAAGTTTAGTAATGCTGTTCAGCTAGTCATGTGATTCACATGTTCCCGTCACACTGCCCAGCCAGAGGGTTCCCCCACCGTTCTCTATGTAACTGTGACACATCAATCCACTTCAGAGGTTCCCCTGAGCTCCCATGCTGTAAACCTCAGTGCCTGAAACATGTTATATTGGGAACACTGCAATACAATAGAACCTTACTGTCTCACAGTGCAGCACCCCCCCCCACTTTAAATCTGCAGTGTGAGCCATAATTGGGGCATTGGCCAGGTACCAGTAGGGTACGTCTCACCTTGTCCGCCCCACTGGAGGCTACTGCTTTTTTTTTTTTTCTTAAAAATGTAACCCACATGCGGCCTCTGAGGTTGATGTGATTGCTGGGGATCAGGTGGTGAAACAGCACAGTGATCACAGCTTACTGTGCAGCTCCTCCATTCAGAAAAACCCTTGTATTCCTTAAAACGGCTACAAGGCTTTCTGTTATTGGACAAGGAGAGAAGGTTCATACACTCCTCGCCCTGTAAATCCAGTACAATTGCCAATCAGAAGCTCTCTTCCTCTATGTTCTAGAGTTGGGAAACACAGAGCATGCTGGGACAGTCCCCCGTCTACCCCACACAGCACGTTGTTGTCCTACAGAAGGAGCCTGGGAATGGGAAAAGTGCAACCTCCGCTATCAGCTTTTTTGGTGCCCTCAAAATTCCGGTGAGTGTGACATAACATGCCAACCTGCATGACTGGGAGGGGCGGGAGGTATGTTCAGAAGGGTGTCTGGGAGGGTGGTCACAGGTTCCGGAGCATTTTCCAAAGATTTTCTCTGGGAAGATCCAGAAAGTTCTAATTTGTGATGTACAATGGAGTGCCTCTGGAGAAGATAAGCAGAATGTCTTTGGGAAGGAAGATTCATCTGGAAAGGTCCAATAGGTTGTCTCTGGGGATTCTAAGAAGGTCCTATGTTGTGATGTTCTAGCTGGTTGTCTCTGGAAAGGTTCAGCCATAGGAGAATCACATTTTCTTTCTATTGAACCCACTATTCACCTTTTGTTTTTGGGGGGAAATTCAAGAACATCTTCAGACTGAAGGAATTTTGCAAGGGGAAGCAATCCAAAATGTTTCTTAAAGGGGAAATTTATAAATCCATTTCATAATATTTTCACTCCGCACCTCATCACCCAGTATGTTACCATTCAGATCTACACTCCACTAAACACTCCCCAATATCCATCTTACCACTAACAATCCAGTGTACCACCACCATCTGCAATCCAGAACACTCACAGCTCAGCCCTCATATACATGTTACATCCTTCCTTCTGGTGACCCCTCTAGTGATAGGATCTAT